GCGTTGAGAGACCAACTGACGAGATCCATTTTAGTGAATTTCAGTTTCCAGTTTCCAGAAAAATGCAGAAGCAGCCGTGCACCCAGCACCCAGAGATGGACAAAGGCCTTGAGGTTAAGATATGGAGGTGAGGAGGAAAAAGTGTCTGCACCAGCCAAGAGCCGGAAGAAGACTCCACCTGCAGAGTTTACCCCAGGGGCCAAAAGGTTGGATTTTCTGTTCCTTCAGATCAGACAACAGGTCCTGACTGTGTTTGGTGTGTTGTAAAGTGCCTTTGGGGGCTCTAGGACTCTAGAAGGTGCTATATAACTACAGACCATTGAACATTTACATCAGTGCACCACAGGAAGGTGGAGCCATCTGGCCCCTTGGTATCTCCAGGAGGAGCTCTCTTCCCACTCCTGGTGCTGATGCTACTGCAGCAGGTGCTCCTGCGATGTTCTAAACTCCTCCTGTCAGAGGAGCAAGGGACAGAGTTTTCACACCACAGGGTGAGGGAGGGCGTGTGCCGATCAGTAAAGAGTGTGAGGTCACCTGTACGCTCCATAGCAACACAACTCAGCACAAGCAGGTGCTGCTGGACCTTCTGCTCAGGTTCATTCGTCAGACGTTGAACCAGTAAATGGCTGCCGGCAGTGAAGCAGACGGCAAAGAACTCCGGAGCGACCAGTGACCCCGCCCCCTAGCCAATCAGCAGCTAGAATCACGATGCCGGCCTGACTCAGCCGTGCCAGGTACCTCAACGAAGCTGGGACTAAAAATAAGGGGGAAGGTAGAGGGGAAATACCGAACAGCGGTCGGGCCGAGCTGCTCCTTCCACTCGGTATGCATCTGAGTCATAATAAACACAGGATGGAAATGCAAGCTCACATTTCTGCATTTGTTGTTCAACCAGCTGATAAAATCCCCTCTCAGCTCCTCTTCTGCCTCCAGGTTTTCCAACATCCTGAGGAAATGAGCTCAGAGTTTCCGAGAGGACAGTCCTCCCAACAGGAAACAGCGTTCCAGAGAAGCCTAAATCCACCAGATAAACCTTGGATACGGAGCCCAGACCCTCCGAAGTGTTCTGGTCAGACTGGAGGCCTTGACCCGCCTATCCATGAAGCATTCCTCCTGCCTCCTTCTGTCAGAAGCCTGAGGCGCCTCAAAGCCTGGACAGAGAGGCTGAGAAGCACCTTCTTCCCTGCTTCTGGTCAGAATCCATCTCTGTTTCTCCAGGCTCAGGCTCCAGAAGGCTCTTCCCCCAGCGTAGCTGCTCCTCACCACGTGACCAGTTGTCTCCGCGTTTAATGCTCCTTCTGTTGCCCTGGAAGCAGGACCTGAAGCTGGTTAACTAATCTTCTCCTCTTCTCCGTGTCTGGCTTGATGAGCAGCTGGAGTGCTAAAATAACTTTAGCTGCTGTCTAAAATCAGCACGTTCTAAACATCTGAAACTCCACAAACATCGTATGTCCAATCCATGGCTCATAACAAACCGGGTCAGAACATTCAACGCAGACTCATAGGCTCACAGTATGGGACCCATGGCCCAGAAGCAGAGGGGCTCCCTACACCTCATGTCACCCAGGTTCAGCGGGTCAGAAGAGAAGGAAGTGTGAACGTCGTTTGTGAAAATCTCAGGTGTGACAGAAGTCTGCGTCCCACATCCACTCACAGGTGAGACCGGATGGACAGGGTCTCTGACTAAAACCAGCTCCAAGGCTTTACTTATTCACAGCTCTTTGTTGACATGTTCCTGCAGGAAACCAGACGTGTACGGGTGAATGTTAGGAAGCTGAAGGCCGGGGTCGGACACTTTTCTGGAGCAGCGCTGCAAACAAAAACACCCAAAAGATGCAATCTGAGCAGAAATCCAACTGTTCTCCTGGCTTTAGTGCTGTCACTGAAACGAGCAGAGACAACTGGCAAGAGGCCGCTCAGAGGTACGTAAGCACCGCAGCAGGAGGCTCGGCTCGGGAAAGTTATCCTCCACCTCCTCCAGTCCAACTCCCTCTCTCCCTCTCTCTCTTGATCCACCATAATCCTCCCATTCCTTTGTGTTCTTCTCCACCCTTTAACTGACTGCTTCCCCTGATGCCCTTCTCTGTGACCTGGAGGGCTCAGCGAAGCGGTGAGGAGGGTGGGAAGTGGACTTATATGGTTAAATGATCAAAGGGAGACACATCAGAGGGGTTAGATGATGGACCGCACCGAGCCTTCCTAGACACGCCGTTAGAAACGCAGAACAGAAACAAACACGTCAGAAAAGATGGCTGAAGACTTTCGCCGAAGGACGACCGCGAGTACAGGGCAGGCAGCACCAACACACAGTGAGACGTGAAGAAGAGCCCACGGAGGAGGAGGAGGAGGAGGAGGAGGAGGATGAAAGCATCCGGCAACAAGCCCTCAGACGGCAGTAAACAGAGCAGCAGCAGCTTCCTGCAGCCGCGTCTCATAGTGATGGCAACAGCAGGGGCTGTGTGTGTGTGTGTGTGTGTGTGTGTGTGTGTGTGTGTGTGTG